AGACCAAGGTATTTACTGAGAAGAGTATCCCCTTTATATATTAGTATAAATAAGGGTATAATGGTCAAATAACGTGGAAATCAAGGTAGTTACTGAGAATGATATCCCATTTATATATTAGTATAGATAAGGCACTTCGTGCCTCTATTAAATATAAAATAAATTTAAAATTAAGTAAGTGTTATAATTAATTTATTAGTTTCAAGTTCTTGAATTTGATTAAAAATATTGTTTTTTTTAGTATATAGACACCATAAACTTTAATTTTATTATAATTTATCCTTAAATTTTATCATTTTTACAAATAAACACATTTATTGCATTTTCATTAAATTATTTATTTTGTAAGTCTCTTATATTACATTGAGATTAAATTTCTAAGATAAAAAAATATCAATCATTTATTTAAATCACACTTGTTTATTTAAATTTAATAATAACTGTCTCAATTTTTTGACATCAACATGAGGCATAAGAAGATTGTATACTTCTTTCATCATTTGTCGAAAAAAATAATCATCATGTAAATACAACCAAGTTTTACCGAGATAAGGGACAAAGGCAAATATTTAGGACTTTCATGTCCTATATTTTTTCACGATGAATTAGGCATGACAATCTAACCCGCCCCCGTGAGTACCCACCTAAACCCGCCTCATGAAAATTGTACCCTTGGATCTTATCTTTCCAATGGCGTTGGAATCACTCAAAAAGAAGGTCTATAACTCCAGATATGACTGTTTTAGTGAACAGGAGTCAAGCTGTCAACATTAGTTATAGCTATTGCGGTTTTTGTAAGTTTTGACAAAGTAGATGATGAAGTTAGGACTTGATGTCTTCATAAGAGTTGTATTAAATCTTCTTATCTTTCATATGTGATAAGGATGAGCATGATAGAATTAGCATGAGTGACTGTGTATGTGCTACTAATGTATGTATGACTTGAGTTATGCTTGATTAATGTGTGCTTTGTGCTGTGCTTTGTTATGATTTGTGTGTGTTGCTTGACCATTATTTTTACACCTTAACTTGAGTGAGATGTTTCTCACTCCCCTGTTTCTCTTTGTATGTGTTTAAATTGTGTTGTAGGTGATCATCAGCATGGGGATGTTGGTGATGAGGCTTAGGGTTCAATTGGGCGTGCTTTGATATGATATGTGACATCGAGGCATAGTTAGGCTTAGTTTAGGATTTCATTATTGTTATTTTGTTTTGTAAAATCTCATGTTCCATTTTCATGTAAATTTTGCATTTGACCATGATTTATGTTTACGAATGTGAATTCTCTACTCTTATATTAGTAGAACCATGGTTTTAATTTAAAAGATTTATTTACTCCAAGAATATGTTTTCAAAATTATTATATATGTATATTGTGGTAGAGGGTGTCACATTGATTCTTTTCACTAGCTTACCTTTGCATATTTCCATGTGGTGTGGACTGCGATGATCATACTATATATGGGAGTAGGGTAGGGATAGGTTGTTATGAGCTGTTGGGGGCCACTTGGTGGTAGAAGCTGGAGTAGATGATTTATTTTTGTAGGCTACCTTGGAGTAGCATTTTGTTGGCATTGTATATTTTTATTTGGCCTATTGAGCCTTTATGGTTAGATAAATGTATATATTTTCTTATTATACTATTTTAGTATATATTATAGTGGTGTGTGGTGTTGTTCTGCAGTGTGAAGACCATGGTGAGTCTTTACACAAAGAGTTAAAATTAATATATTTAATCTTATCAGTAAAGAATTGTTATTTATTGAAAAAAAATAATTTATTAAGGAGGTAAAATAAATATTTGCTGGGTCACCTCTAATTCGTCAAACCATTTAATTTTATTTTTAGATTTTGTTTTGGAAGGTTAACTAATCTTATCCCATACTCCCAAGTTATGATGAGTTGAGATATGTTAACAATCCTATCTTTACGGCTAAAAAAGGTTAGTATGAGAGGTTTTTATAAAATTTGAACATAAAATAGTTTCTAAATTTAAAAGTTTGAATTTAGCCCATTTTATTTTTAATAGCCTAAAGTTTAAATTGACTTGACTTAATGAGGTATACTTAAATGATTTTTTTTAATTAAGCTTTTAAATTAAAGAATATTTCCTTTAACTAATTTTAGAGCTGTCAAAACGAGTAACCCGGCTAAGAATTATTGTATGAATTGGAGTTTTAGTTTTCTTAGCAATTAAGTATTAATATTTTTTTATTATATAATGTCTATAAAAGACAGCGTATGCATATGTACTGCAAGAACTAAATGAATCATTTTTGATTGAAATCCAATTGAATCAATCGTGTGAATTTCAAAACCTCTTCCTCCCTCTTTTTCGTTTTCGTTGTGTATGAATATTTTTATCTCATTGATAATAATTGGCATCAAAGCTTAAAAACTTGATGGTAGTGTAAGTAAAAAAATATTTGAGTGTGTAAGGAATAAGAGTGTTTTCACTTTGTCTTAAAAAAAATATAGGTGTTATATTTTTGAGAGAGAAATATAACTATTATTTACAATATTATTTGGTGAGGTTCCAAGTTAGAAGAAAAATTAGATTTTAGCTATTGATAAATTTCGATGGCTATACATTTGAAAGTTCACAATACTTGAAATTTTATTGAACCAAGGTTAGCAGAAGGAGTTGATGAATGATGATACTGTTAGGAGGAGAGACTAGTTGATGCTATCACAAAAATTCACCAAACAGTAGATTGATCTAGTTTTGGCAAAATTGCACATGCCAAAACATTCAAAGAGGCGTGAAATGTTTTGAAGTTATTATATAGAGTAAAGAAGACTCAAAAATATAAGCTGCAATCTTTATGAAGGCAATATGAAAGGTAAGAAGTGTACAATTTTAAATTCGTGAAACAATACTTTTCATGAGTTACAAATCTCCTCAACAAAATGAGAGTATATGGAGAAGATGTTTTTGATAGTAAAGTGGTGGAAAAAATTCTTTGAACGGCGTCAATGATGTAAGATCCTTTCATGACTACAATAAATAAATCCCATGACATAGACACCATGATTGTAACAGAGTTGCAGGGAAGCATCAAAAGTCACGGGAGTAGAATCTTGGAAAATATAGAAAAAGTAAATGAAGAAGCGTGAAAAAGTCAAGTAAATCTCAACAATATAGTTGAAATCAATCAAGTGATTGTTGCACTTTTGCTGTCGAAGTTGAATACATTGCAGGATCCGATTATACTACATAGGTAGCATAATTGAGAAGAATTTTAGAAGTGATGCACCAGAAGCATATTACCCCTACCGAAATATTTTGTGGCAACAAATTCACAATTGCATTGAGTAAAAATCTTGTTTTTCATGGGCGATCCAAAGACATTGATATTCAATTTGACAAGATACGATTGTCCATCTGAAGAGCAAGTTGTAGATATTTTTACAAAGTCGTTGAAAATCGAGTGTTTTTACAGGTTGAAGAAAATGCTCAAAATAATACATGCTTGATTTAAGGGAGACAATGTGAGTCAAATATTAAATCAATCTTGTTGAAAACTTGTTGAATAAGAATTCATCATTGCCCATATTGTTGCTTTGCCTTCGAGAATAATGTTTTTTAAATGTTTTCAGTTTCTTAAATTTAAGATAAATATATTTTTAATCCCTCTAATTTAAAATTGATTCTTTTAGTTCATATGATTTCAAAAAAAATCTCATTTTAGTCCTTATACTTAAATTTTGTTAAAAAAAATTGTCAAACATTTTTACATAAAATTTATTTACCGATATTTTTGTTATAAAAAACATCACATTAAACCTAATTAATACTGTATAATTATATAAATATGTTACTTTCAGACATATTATTAACGATCTAAGGAACTAAAACAAGATTTTTAAAAATTATAAAAACTAAAAATAATAAATTTGATAGACAAAAAATAAATTTATCCTAAATTTAAAAAACTAAAAGCATATTTAATCAATTTTTTTTCTGCATCTCCATAATGAGTAGCTTAACATTAAGTATATTATTATGTGAGTTAAAGTTTTAGTTTTCTTAGCAATAAAGTAATAATATTTTATTATTATGTAATGCCTATAAAAGACTGCACATGCATATGTATAGCAAGATTTGAATGAATCATTTTTGTTTTTTGAAATTCAATTGAATTAATAGTGTGGATTTCAAAATCTCTTCCCCCTCTCTCTCTTCCTCTCTCGTTTTAATTGTGTATGTATGAATATTTTTATCCCATTGATAACAACAACTAAGAAAAACTGATGAATGAATGCATGCATGCAAACAAAATTTCATAGCTTTATATATGTCTTTCTCTTTTCTCATTGCAAAATTTGTTTGGAGTGTTGTATATCATTAATCCGGCAATCGTTCTCTTCAATGATGTCAAAACTGATGTGGTAATCAAAACTCTAATGCTGGAATTTGAATTGAATCTTCTTTCATTGAATTAATGTTCCTAGTGGTAAGTGTATGACAACGGTTCGAGGAACTCAGTTCATCCAAACTTGAAAACTCATAATAAAGAGTTCAATGATTTATAAATAAAATAAAAAATAAAAAAAAAGAGTTTACAAGTGATTATGTCTGTGTTTGTCCTATGATCATAAACTCGCTAAAAATTTAAAACTCTAGAGCTTCAAAATAATGACAGTATCTAATAGGCTAGGCTTTTAATATTACAAAAGACTTTAACATAAAACATAACATGAAGCTTAATTGTAAGGAATAATTTCTTTTGTATATTATGAGTCCAATTATTGTAACAAAATGTATACAACAGAAGTTGAAGCATTGAAACATAATGCGGGTATTTGCTATTCATATTGTTTAATTTAATGAATAATAAGATAATGTAAATCAAACCAACTTCACTACTTACTACATTCTTAACTTTTCCTCTTTACTGTTATTTCTTCTTCCAAGCACACTATTTCTTTTTATCTCAATCCATTCCAAAATGAGGTGAAGTTTATATCTTGTCAGGGATAGGAAACATCGCTAATACTTGAAAGAAATTGTTCTAGTTCATTTGCATATCACTTGGAGCTTGATATAACACAACTGTGTTTTACAAAATACTCCTTTATTACAAAAAAAAAGAGTTATATCTAACTAAAACTTATTGGGCCCTTTGAGGTATAAATTTTCAAGAAATGGATAATCTGTGTATCCAACAACAGGATCATTGGAATAAAAGGTGCTTCTATCAGGCTTGTTCAACTCAGCATCCAATTCAAATCTTCTAGGCAAATCAGGATTAGCCAAAAACAAGCGTCCATAAGCCACCAAATCTGCACCACCATTCTCTATCACTTTGTTTCCCTCACTCCTATTGTATCCACCAGCAACAATGAAGGTTCCACTAAAGGCCTTTCGAATGGGTAACAAGGATTCATTGGTCTCATGCTTTTCGAACATTGTCAGCATCCTGGGCTCAATCACATGACAATAGAGAATGCCCAATTTGCTCAAAGATTGGGCCATGTAAATGCCCAACTCTTGAGGGTTGGAATCTCCACAATCACAATAATCAGCAAAAGGAGAAAGCCTAACACCAACTTTGTCAGGCCCAATTTCATCAGCTACGGCCTTCACAACCATCAATGGGAAACGACAACGATTTTCTAAGCTACCACCGTACTCATCATCTCTGTCATTCACTTTGTCTTTTAGGAACTGCTCAAGCAAGTATCCATTGGCTCCATGTATCTCCACCCCATCAAAACCTGTGTAATAAATTATTCGTGCAACAACTCATTTATATATACCCAACAAGATTAAATGACTTTATCACATTATCTTATTCATTTGAAATATTACATTAATTATATTCATAAAAAAACTCTTAATTATATCATGCATGTGTAAGTAACATTTGAAGATGCGGAATTACATTTGAAATTAACAAGTTGTTTTTTCATAAATTAGATCTTAGTTTGTTGATAAAAGAATGTAATTAAAAGAATAAATCTCATTTAAGATGGTTAATTAAGTTTTCTACAAATACTACTAGTTTATCATCAGGTTAAGAACATGATTCTCAAAAAGTAATATTTGAAATTATAAACTAGAAAAAGAAATGCTAAGCAAAGGTTAGTACTTAGTACCAGCTTCTATGGCATTTTTAGCTGCAATTCTGAAGTCATTGACAATCATAGGGATTTCATCTGCTGTGAGACGACGTGGAGAAGGGTACTTAGTGCTGCTACCTTCCTTCTGAATTGGCTTGTTTGTACTTGAAATTGGGGCCTGCCCATCTGGCTGGAAAACTATGGGACAGGGATATGGAAACAATATTTATGGCATGTTTTCCCTTTGTTTTGATTCACAACAAAATAAAGACAAGTAGAAAAAACAAGGAAGAAAGTTGGCTTTTTCCATTGTTTGAATAATAACAAAAAGTATGTATTCCCCTCGTTTATGACAGAAACACTAAAATAAGTAATGAAGGTGGAAAATTAGATGCAAGTTAATTGAATTAAGACTTACATATAACATTACTATTAAAAATAAAAAAAAAGATATGAATAAAGAGAGATACCATAGTGGGAGACTCTTCCTGCGTGCCAAAGTTGGCAAAAGAATATTCCACCTTTCTCATGAACGGCTTTCACAATTGGTTTCCATGCTTCCACTTGTTCTCTTCTCCAAATGCCAGGAGTATTAGGGTACCTTTGAATTTAGCAAAGAAAACAAAAAATGGAAAGAAATCAAATAATTGATGTAAATATTCTAAAAATTAGCAAAGCTTTTTGTGTTCAATTTTTAACATGTTCTTTACGTTGGGAGTTGGGCGTACGAGAGAGAACAGAGAGTGGGTGACAACTCGATCGAGAATGGGGTCTCTCCAATTCAGAACATAAACAAAATCGGTTCTAATAAAAATCCATTTTAAAAATCCTCACGTCACTTTTAAAATTCATCCCTCTTTAATTAATTTTAAGATTTTGATTTTAAAAATGATTTTTATACTAGTGTAATAAAATTAAGATAAAGGAAGCTACTTTTTTTTTTTTTATTTTAATAAAGGCAACTGTTTTGTTTTCCCATACACTTTATAAAAAGAACGTTTGTTACTTTTTCATTTATTTATTGAAATTGAATTCAACATCAAATTTACAATAGTTTATACACTTCTCAATTAACTAAAACAGACTTGTAAATAAATAAATAAATAAATAAACGTATGCTGTGATTATTGATGTAATAAAAAAGTAATGTTTCCTAACACAAATTCATTTTATAATTATTTAACAGTGATACGTAATTTTAGATTAATTTTAATTACCAAAAATATTATAGAGTTTAAATTAAATTTAAAATCGTTATTTCATATAGAATTTTGTTACCAAAAAAATATAGAATTTCACCTAAAAATAATAACTTTTAGGTAGGCTGAGAGTTGATTATGCGATTATTATTAAAATTTTAATTAACAATGTTTAACACGAAAAATATTAACAATGCTATTTGATATGATTTTTTGTGTGAAATATAAGTTAAATTAATTATTAGATTATCTAACTATTTGTGAATTTTTAGTTTGGTCTCCAAACTACAATATATATATATAGAGAGAGGTTTGATCTTTTTATAATTGAATTTCAAATATATTAAAAAATTCATTAATTATCATTTAGTGACAATTTTAAGTCACCATAAACAAATTTCGCAGATCAAATTAAAAAATTTACAAAATCAAATATTTAATGACAGTTATCTTTTTCGAGGAACTTAATCAAAATTCTCAAATAATTCAAGACCTACTAATTAATTTAAGTTCGTAATACGAAAAGGTTTGAAAGACAAAAACTGTTTTGAAGAAAGGAAAAAAAAAATTGCCTTATATCAATTATTTAGTGTTGCTACCCTCCTATATGTGTTCATGTATCTTTCATAAAAACAAAAACAAAAAATTGCCTTATTTTTTAAACGACTGAAAATTTCACCACTAAACCGATATTAATTGGCTGAAAATAATAAATTATTAAATTTGAGAAATATATGTATAGAAATAATAAAAAAATTATTGAAAGAAAAGGACGATTAATATTATGAGGTTTAGGAAGATTACCCTTGTGCAGTTTCTGATACCCCAGAGGCTTCTCCAATCAAAAATCCACCATTGGTTGTTCTTTGAGAATAATAGAGAGCAGCATGAGGCTGTGCCACGAAGTTGTATGATCTCGTTCTTGTTAATGGTGCCAGAACAATCCTATCACATCAATATCAAAATTAATTATATTAATTAACAAGTTTGTGGAATAATTTATTAATTAAGCTACATACCTATGCGATAGATTAAATTTTGCCATGTTGAATGGGGTGAGAAGGGGTATCACTTTCTCCTTCTCTTCCTCCATTGTCGTCTTCATCCTCCTTTTCTCCCACCTACTACTTCACACTTCACAATCTCAGATGGACACACACCCTCTCTCACTCTTCATTCTTATAGTAACTTACTAACTTACCACATTATTTTCTCTTTTTCTTTTTTCCTACTATTAAGTGTAACTCTAGTTTGTGCATTTATTATATGGACTTTTACTTTCTTTTTCTTTTTCTTTTTCCTTAACTCTAGTCTAGATGCATTTATATGGAGGTATATTTATTTATTATTTATATGGAGGTATATTTATTTATATGGAGGTATATTTATTTATTATATGGGTTATCGAAGTATGCATATAATTTTAAGTTTGAACTTTGTTATAATTTCTACAAATAAAAAAATTAAGTTTATCTACTTTGATTCAATTTTTCATTTCTCTTATTAAAAGGTTCAATTTGATTCTTTAATTTAAAAAATTATGTGATGTAGTTATTTTCATTCAATTGAGATTAACGGTATTAACTCCTTGTAAACATTATATAATAAGAAAATAATATGTATCTCTATATGAACAAAAATTTAATGCTGTTAGTCTAAATTGAACAAAAGAGACTACATTGTATTATTTTAAAATAAAATTAAGGAATCAAAACAAACCTTTTAATAATAGAGGGACTAAAATATATTAATTAAATAAAATGAGAGACAAGTAATTTAACCTAATTAGTTATTATTATAAAGACAAGTAATGTTTAGTTAGCGAAAGCCACTTACAAAGCATATACTAGTCTTTTATTATTAGTTTTGGAACATTGCATGAACATGAATATTAATATCCATGAAAAAAAATGTTATTAGTTTGATTGCAATTGAGTTTGGATTCTTTAAATTAGTCTTTAAAGTTTGAGTATTGTTATTATTGTAAATATATATATATATATATATATATATATATATAAAGAATTCAAATAACATCGATGTAACTTTTACTAAGTATTGTACTGTTCAATAATTTTATATTAAATGTGAATTTTGTAAATTTAATCGTTAGATTGAAAATTCATATCACTTTATATATTTATATCAAATTTTGTTAAAATTGAACAACAACTTAAAGGTAATCAAAGTATTCATAGTTTATTATATTTTAAATATATATATTACGCTAATTTTGTTTTATAAGAATGAAATATCAAATCATTTTGAATTAATATAAAATTTTGTATATATGATCTAAGAGTAAAAAACTTTCAATCTAGTGGTTGAATTTATAAAATTCATATTTAATATAAAATTATTGAGTAGTATAATACTTAGTAAAAATTACACCGATGTCGTTTGAATTATCCTCTCTCTTTTTCTTTCTTTCTCTCTCTCTCTCTCTATATATATATATATGTGTATATATATATATTTGAGAGAGAAAAAAAATAATAAGAGTGTGAATCAATAAAATTAGCCATTAACAAAATTAATAAATACTTTACATATATTATTAGTTTAAATATATATTTTGTACTTAAAATGTACCTGTTTTTTTTTTATCCCTAAATATTTTTTTCTTAGTTTCTGTAAAAAAAAAATTTGTTTTAAGTAACTGCCAATTTGCCATAACTTTTTTCACTATTTTGATAATATGTCAATCATCAAATGACTTAAATCTATTTGAAAAAAATTGTGCTCACATTTTACTTACCTCTTAACTAAACCAAATTTATTTGGGATAAAATCTTAGGACATTGGTTGAAAAAAAAAAAAATTACTTGACAAAGTGTCCATATGTTTGACACATCACCAAAAATAGTAACATAAAGTTACATGAAAGACTAAAAATAAAATAAAAAAATAGGAGCAAAAGTCAAGAAAAACTTTTAAGATCAAAAGTAAAAAAAAATAAGCACCGTCTCATGTTTTTATTATAAAACATTTTTAATCGAATCACATAAATTAATAGATTAATATAAATAATTATGTTAGTTAATTTTATTAAATTTATAAATTAAAATTATGATTTATCAATTTTATCTTTATTACATATCATTAAATTTTTACAAGATAAAAATATTATTCTATATTAATATTTATGTATCAATTACTAATAAAAATTATAAATGATAATAAAATTTAAAGAAATATGAGAGAAATACATATTATAATATTTTTAATTAAAAAATAAAAAATAAAATTATTACTACTTTATAAAAATTGTAAAGTAAATTTATAAAAAAAAAGTACCATTAATTCTTTTTTAAATAGTTTCTTATATTCAAGCCTGTTATTTATTTGTTTAGAGTAACTCTCGAATTTATTTTATGGAGTGTTAATTGTTTTGTGCCGCCTGTTGTATAAAGAATGCGTTTTCTCCTGAATTTATTTTATGGAGCATTAATTATTTTGCTTATATTTTAATGCTTCAATCCATTTTATCAATTCAATTTAAAATATTGAAACTTAAATGATAGTTAAAATAGTTTAATTCTTTAATGAAATATTTTAGAGTATGTTTGGATTGAATTTCAAATTCTTTATAAATTCTCCATCCAAACAAGGTATTTCACCTCAAAGAATTTGAAATTCTTCAAATAAATGAATTACTCCATTTAAATTTCTCATCCAAACATATTATTAAGCATTTTCTATTCAATACGGTCTAGAACATATAAATTAAATATATTTATATTTACTTGGTATTGTAAGTGTATATTTATTATAAAATTTATTTTTTTATTATTAAAGTATTATATAAGAAATCCAAAATAAATATAGATGTTTTTATTATTATTATATATTGATTGAAGTTAATTTTAAGAAAACAAATTGTTTAAAGTATTATATTAGATTAATTTAGTTAATATAATTTTAATTACATTAGAATTAAATATATAAATTAAATATACAATTACATATATTTATACATAATTTATTTTTTAAAATACTTTTTAATTGATAAGTTAATTATTATTTAATTGTAGTCTTAAAGAATTGTATTTCATTCATTTATAAATTTATTAAAAAGTTGTTTTTTTTTATAGTCTTAAAGTATTATATTAGATTATATAAATTTATTATAAGGCACTTTTAATCAAATTACATAGTTAATATAAATAATTATGCTAGTTGAATCACATAGATTAATATAAATAATTATATTAGTTGATTTTATTGAATTTATAAATTAAAATTATAATTTACCAATTTTATCTTTATTACATATCATTAAATTTTTACAAGATAATTTTATATCAAAATTTATGCATCAATACTAATAAAAATGATAAATGATAATAAAAAATTCAAAAAAAACATGAAAGAAATACATATTATAATAATTTTTAATAAAAATAAAAATGAAAAATATAATTAATACTACTTTATAAAAATTTTAAAGTAAATTTATATATAAAAAAAGTATCATTAATTCTTTTTAAATAGTTTCTTACATTCAAGCCTGTGATTTATTTTTTCATAATAACTCCCGAATTTATTTTATGGAGTGTTAACTGTTTCGTACCTGTTGTATAAAGAAAGTGTTTTTTTTTAATTTATTTTATGGAGTATTAATTATTTTGCATGATATTTTAATGCTTCGATTAATTTTATCAATTCAATTTTAAAAATTGAAACTTAAATGGTAGCTAACCTTTTAGAGTATGTTTGAATGGAATATTTAAATAGAATAGCTTTTTTAAAAAATAAATAAATATCTTGAGATAAAATGTTTTGTTAATTTGGATGAAAAATTTATAAAGAATTTGACTTTCAAATATTTATGAAATTCTTGAAAATAGTTGAATTTCAAATTCTTCAAAAAAAAAAACATAAATTTAAAAATTTCCTCTTTTTTTATTTATTACTTTTTAGCCTGAATAAAATACTAAAATTAAATTGTTTTAAAAACTATTTATCAAAAGTGATTTTAACTAACCTAGTAGGGGTACTAATAAAACACCTTGCGTGAGAGGTGTAAATGAACAGAAAGTGACCTAAGCATTTTCTGTTCAACACGGTTTAGAACATATAAATTAAACATGTTTATATTTACTTGATATTGTAAGTGTATATTTATTAGAAAATTTATTTTTTTATTAAAGTATTATATAAGAAATCCAAAATAAATATAGATGTTATTATTATTATTATATATTGATTGAAGTTAATGTCAAAGAAAAAAAATTGTTTAAAATATTATATTAGATTAATTTCATTATTATTTTTAATTACATTAGAATTAAATATATTTATACATAATTTATTTTTTAAATTATTTTTTAATTGGTAAGTTAATTATTATTTAATTGTAGTCTTAAAAAAAATTGTATTTCATTCATTTAAAAATTTATTACAAATTTATTTTTTATTTATAATTTTAAAGTATTATATTAATTAATTTAATTAATATTTCATTAATTTATGTTAGAAAAAAATACAACTACTGTAAAATAATTTATATTTGAATAGTTAATTTTAATTAACTTTAATTTTAAAGTATTATATAAGAATTTTAAAATAGACATACATACACTTTATTAGTATAGTCATATGTTATTTTTTTTTATAATGTCTAAATTGCAACTCTATCATGTATCTGAACATATTTGAATTGGTGATAAAAATATAGTATTTAAATTTTTTATACAATACTTTAAAACTATAAATAAAATAAGTTAACTTTTCTAATCAATTTATGTTTACAATATCAAGTAAATATATATGTTTAGTTTATATGTTTAACTTATATATTTAATTCTAACATGATTTAAGGAAATATTAATTAAATGAATCTAATATAATACTTTAAGTAATTTATTTTTTCAAAATTAACTTCAATCGATATATCTTAATAAAATGTAGCACTGAGCTTAGGTGAGTTGTGGGGTCTCTAGGCAGAGGTCCAGTTGACCTCGAGCAAAAAAATATATAAGGCTTCTTCTGATAATTAAACCTCATAATCTCGATTTATCAAAGACCTTAGAGAGAAAAGTTTAGAGATAGAAGTTTTGATTCTTCTCCCTTCTTCTGTTTTGTTGGGATGACACTGGGCATGAGAGTATCGGAGGTTTTTGACTTGGTGACGCCAAATCCAAAGTTGAGTGACACCCAACATGACCAAACTAGAGCTTTTTGTCTAGACGAGGTCAAACATGGGATTTTTCCATGTCAAACGTGAGGTCTCAGGGGTCTCTGTCTTATTTATGTCGAGCGAGATTATGTAGCGCTAGGTGTGAGCGAGACAGAGAGTTCCCTGCCTTAATGGCACTAGGTATAGAGTGTGTTGCATCGGGCGTTG